GTTGCCCATTTTTTGATTGGGTTGTTTATCTTCCTTTTGTTAAGTTGTATGAGTTCCCTATAAATGTTGGAGATTAAGCCCTTATCGGTGATAAAGATAGCTTTATGACAATGCTTTGTAAGATTTCTTTGTGGTCAATATTACTATTTTAAGGACTTTTTTTTTTAAGGGAAGCTAAATATTCCTTTCTATTCTGCATATAGAGACTTCAGTTCTATTTTTCTATCTTCAAGACCAAAGTTAAAATCAACTCCAATAGGGCCCTCCTATAATTAAAATTAATCATTACTTCTTCATTACTGCTACAGAACATTGCTTCTCTATATACCATTTATTTCATTTTGCCTTATATGAAAGCTATTTGTTTACAATGTTTCTACTTCTTTTTAGGAATAATGATTATGCATTATTCACCTTTGTATTTACCTGGCATTTAGAATACTGCCTTGGCATATTCATGAGTAAGTTAATATTTTTCTCAATAAGATGAGCATGTAAGTTACATAACAGCTTCCACCAAACCAACCCTGAAGTAACAAATTTAAGTACATGGGGTAATATACTCTTAAAAATCTTTCATTTTGAAAGTTTGGTGAGCCACCTAAATTGGGGATTGGGAACCACCAAGATCATTCACTCATTAACAAATATGTATTATGTACTAAATGCATATGTAATGGTGAACGACATAGATGTAGTCTATGTGCTCAAAAATAAAGCAGGTGGTAATAATAAGGAATTGGAATGGGAGTAGAGGGCAGAGGGTTGCTCATGTAGACTGGACAGATTAACAAGTCAGCAGAGTTAAGGACTCAAAAGTGTGCTGAGAGCTTCAGGTGCTTTAATGCCAGTTTCAAGGGAATAGTTAACTAGCATAGTCTCTAATCTATCACCACTTGTCCTTTTCTGATGGTTTAGATTTTCTTGGCTAAATTAAGCGATGGCATGAACTCTGCAATGTAAGACTATCCATTTCCAAATAATTCTAATTTCCTTCCAGTCCTTATGACTGATAAACTCATCTGGAAGTGACAACTATGTCCCGTTTAAGAGTGTTTCTCCATTTCAGCTTTAACTTCTTTGATTTGGAGACCTCCTGATGGCTAATCAACATGTTGTGTAAATACTTCAATGATTACTTATAGAATGTTATTTTGTCATCAGAAGAAAGAACTGCCGCTTCTGAACTCGATTGTTCTAAAGCAGGAGTGGGGAATGCCTGGCCCGTGGGCCTTATTTGCTCTGGCCCTGTCAAGGCAGTAACAGGCTAATTTTTAAGTTGATAATTTTGTATGACCCATGAATGATGTTATAAATATCCAAATGGCCATTGGCAGGAAAAAAGTTCCCCACCCCTGCTCTAGAGCTTAGGCAAAGTAAATGTATCTAAAGTAGTTCCTAACCACTGGGAATTCTCAGATCTATTGCTAGAGCCACATGTTAAATTATGAGAGCATGTGAAATACTGGAAAAAGTCCTGGATTAGAAATTAGATGTAGGTTCTAGTCCCTGGTCTGCCACTTTGTCATGCAAATCTGGGTAAATTGTTTACTTCTTTTAGGCTAAGTTTTCTTATCAGTAAACGGGGAGTATATAGAAATGACATCTTACACAAATTCAACTACAGGATATGTGCTTGGCAAAAAATCTAAAAGAAAAATATCAATTTAAATAGCATTTAATGAGCATATGCCATGAAGTGAGCATGAGCTGGCAAGCACAAACCTATTGTTACATCAATCAATCTCAGTTCTTACATGCCCCTCAATGAAAGTCTTGCTGTGTATGCTACATGATGAGTGTTTAAATATTAATATATTTATTTGTATGTTTAGGACAAGTTCCCTAAACATAATCCACTTGCTTCATCTAAGGCTCAAATGAAGAGATATGATTTATTTAATGTTTACTTTAGAAACTAGTAGGGTGTTGACTCCCCTATACCACTCTATTATACTAGCATGGGGAACATGTAAGTCAAAGTTGATGGGATCCTAGAAACACACTGTTGAGAGCCTGACTTATCAATCTGTTTATGTTATTGGTTATTAAATAACAGTTTATCAATACGTTACTACCCCAACTGAGCTATGCCACTGTCTTTGGCACAAATATATACACATATGTGGAAAATGATGGATATACAAAGTTACTCATTGCACAAAACTTTTAATAAGGACCAGAAAAAAATTAAATGTCTAAAAGAAGAGGACTGATGAAATGAAACATATACAATGAAATATTTTGCAGCCATAAAAAGGAATGAAGAACCATCTTATATAATGATAGAACAACTTCTAAAATCAGTGAAAAACTAAATTATGTACCATTTATGTTAAAAGGAGGGGAAAGAAAAATAAAAAATATATAGTATTTATTCCCTTGTATATACATAAATTTTTTTGGAGGGAAAACTATATAACCAACTGTTGGCATTAGGTGTTCCCTAGGCAAGGAACTGGGTAGTTGAGGAACCAGAGTGGAAGAAAGACTTTTAACTGCATATCCTTTCTACTTTTTGAATTTGGAACATGTGAATGTATTACCTAATCCAAAAGGAAACACAAAATTTAGATCAGCAAGAAAGTACTTTGAGATGAAATAGGATCATGTTCTTAATGGGAAACATTTATAAAAAGTAGGTATAGCCAGCCCTGCTGGCATAGCTCAGTGGTTGAGTGTCAACCCATGAACCAGGAGGTCACAGTTCAACTCCTAGTCAGGGCACATACTCAGGTTGCAGGCTCCATCCACTAGTCAGAGTGGGTACAGGAGGCAGCCGATCGATGTTTCTCTTTCACATGGATGTTTCTCTCTCTCTGTGTGTACAGGAGGCAGCCAATCAGTGATTCTCTCTCATTATTGATGTTTCTGTCTCTCCTCCCTCCCTCTTCCTTTCTGAAATCAATACAAATGTATATATATGGCTTACAGGGAAATAAATGCCTGCAGGTAGAATGTTTGGATTATAAGGGACCTTCCTTAAGAGACCCATCTATCCCAAACTTCTCATAGATCTATAAACCAAGGTCTTGAAAATTGAGTGATTTGTGTGAGGTCACATAGCAGAAGAGTTAGGAATAAAAATCAGATATTCCAATATCTACTCTAAGACACTTCTTTACCATACTGTCTTCTCATTTCATATGGGCAAAACAGAGCCAGGTAAGTTTAGGCTAAAAAATAGGTTGTCATGTTCTATCTAAATTTTAGAGTTTAAAGTACAAATTAATCTTAAACCCTTGGACTACCAATTTCTTACGTAGTTTCTACATGGCTACACTAATAAGCTGTGCATAGCTCTATCAGTGAACATATTACAGTATAAGTGTATTTTCTCCAGAAAAAATAGTTTTATTGATTTCAGAGAAGGGAGAGTGAGAGAGAGATAAAACATCAATGACGAGAGAGAATCACCAATCGGCTACCTCTTGCACGCCCTCCACTGGGGATCGAGCCCACAACCTGGGTATGTGCCCTGTCTGGGAATCAAATTGTGATCTCCTGGTTCATAGGTCGACTCTCAACCACTGAGCAACACCAGCCAGGCTAAATGTACTTTTTTCTATCCTTCTAATACAAGTAAATTCACTGAGGTAAAGAACTCAACTGTATTATGCTGTTTTAGTTTTTTAAATATACAAATGCCTAGCACAATTGTATTGCCCAAAACAATATCGGTTTGCATTCTTTAACCAAAACCTAGGGGATGGATATGTTTTAGAAGTAAATAATTTATTGGAACTTGAAAAATGTTACAAGGTACACAAACCATTATGTAACACCTAACATACCAGGGGTCAAAGGCCACATCCCATAATCAAACATAATCTTTCTTCAACAAAACATATGTGATACATGAAGACTATATATAACTTCTGGGTTTAGGTCATATTTTGCTACCAAATTAATTTTGTCCCCAAGCTTAAAAGGGTTTTGGTTTTTCAAAGCCTTCTGATGTTGGAATCAGGTGAGAGTTTACAGACTGTACTCACAAACATGCTGCTAGAAAATATGGTTAGACACCTCAACCAGCATTTTTTTGATGAGACTAAAACAAGCAGGCAGTTTTTACATCCTAGGTTCGGCCAAAGGCGTGTTTGTTATCAATGAATCTAACCTAGCAGAGGGGGCAAAAGCTGAAAAAAGAAAATTCTAATTGTACAACACTGTATTCCTATTGCAGCTGCTCATTGGTCATAAATTTAATAAAAGCTCCCTTTGATTACATCATGCTATTTTTTAAATATAAATGAGTAAACTCTGTCCCACATTGCTGAAAAGAGACAGAGGCAATGAGCTTTAACCCTAGGAAGGTATCTGGACTCTTGTGGGGTCCAGTGTAATATACAGAAAGAGGCATTCAAAATACACTGGTAAGGAACAAGCAGAAATGTATATAGTGTGTGTGTTTCTAACATGATACCATTCCTCTGATATGAATGAAAGGAGAATTTGTAGTTGACTTCTCCTGATTGACTGTTCTATATATTAGTACCTTTCCTGTTATTTTATGAAGCCTTATGTGACTTTCTCTACCTTTTACAGGGGGAAAGCTGCGGAACATATACTAAAAATTCCTTCAATTCTTTTCACAATCCCAAGCTCCACCTTCATTTTGTTTGTTACAATTACATATTTTTTCCTGTAAAAAAAAAAAAATCAACTTTACAGAAAACAATGTTTGATTGATATAATTCAGTTTGGGAATGTTGATTTTTCAATCTTACAATTTCAGCTACACTTTAACTGAATCAATTATTTTGTTCAATTTATGAGGCTACCCAGCAAGTGTTTAATTACAAAAAAAGTGTACTCCATTCCAAAGAATGGAAATGGCAATGGTGAACAAGAAAAACCCTGAGTTCCAGCTACTAGTTCAGGAGGAAATACAACATTCTCATAATTCATTAAAAAAAATCCTAACTAGCTAAATGTAATAACAAATATACCAACACATTAATAATCGTGGACAACAAAAAAGGTAGACAAAAACTAACCTGCCTATATTTCAGTCTGGGAAAAGCAAAACAAACTTCCTGCTGGATTTCTTGGCCATTTGCATTCAGAAGCACCAAAAACTAAAATGCTTTTTCACTTTAGAACTTTTCTGTGTACAGGACTCGGTCCCTCTGTGCCACCCTATCAATACGGTCAGCGTTCCTCCACAAGACCAGCTCGGGCGGCCATTCGGCCCGAGACCACGAAGAGAACCACAGCCCACACTGCCGCGGGTGCTCCGCGAAGAACCGGGCAGAACCTGCATATCGTTATTCTAGGACTAGAACCAATCGAACCACAGGACTGCGCTGCCCCCAGGTTCGGAATGCAGACTAGGAAGCAGCACACGCGGTCACGCTGCCCGGAACCACATGACCTCCCTACGAAAGCCGCCTGAACTCACAAAGGAGAGCGCTCCCGTTCTCCTCCGTTACAAGTCAGGAGACCGGAGTCGGCGTGGCAGGGACGGAGCCGAGGCTGACGGGCTGGAACCGGTCGTGGACAGGGTCCCTGTGCTTCGGCCCTTACCGTTAGAAGATCTGGGAGGGAGGGAAGGAGGAGAAACATCCCAGAATCCGGGCAGAAAAGCCCCTGGCCCCGAAGATGGGGCTTGGGGAGATAGGGAGGGGCAGCTCCGTGTGTGGTGACCTTTCTGAACACGCACTCAGGCAGCTCGAGTCTCACGGAGGCTTTAGCACGGCGGCCTATGCAGGCCTCGCGCGGCCCACAGTCGGAGAGACGGCGGTGCCGCGTGGACGCACCAGCCTAGAGCCTCCCGGGCACCCTCCGCCGGCCCGGGAGCCCGCCCCTCGCCCGCCCACCAGGTCACTCAAGGGCGCGTCGGCTTCCGACTCGGGGTCTCGCGGGCCAGACCGCAGCAAAACACGTGCTACTCTCTTTCCTCAGCGAAATCCCTCCGCTGCCGGCCGCGAACTAGTTTTAATCACGCCCCACCCCCAGTGACGTCACCTCCGCCACTCGAGCGCTTTCCAGCAGCTTCCAGATCCGTCGCCTCCCCCAACGCAGCCATTCTCAGAGGGCGGGCTCTGCAGCCACCGGGCCCGCCCCCAGCCGCCGTCGCGGCTGAAACTGCGGTAGCGGAGGCCAGGCGTTGGGCTGAGCCTCAGCCAAGGCCGGACGGAAGTGCTGCGGTCCCCGCCTTCCGCCACGCTTACGGACCTAATCCTTTCGGGCCCCTGGCAGAGTCGGGAGGGGAACTCTTTGGCGGCGGACTGAAACCGGAAGCCGCTTTCCTAGCGGGAGGTCGGTGGGGGAGGAGCGGGCTGAGGTTGAACGTAGGGTAGACGTTGCTGTGTGCCGTGGAACAGGAATTCGGATCCAACGTGTGAGAAGAAGTATCCGCCTCAGGTAGGGAGAAGGAGTAATGTTCTTCTGTGCCCCAAATAGGGAAAAGGGACAGAACTGGGTCGATCTGTGGAGCTTTGTGCGCGCTGAAAGGGCGGGCTGGTCCGGGAAGGAGCGGCTGGGACCAGGTTCAGATGGGAGGGTTTAAAGTGTCGAGATAGAGGTGTAGATTCGTTTGGGCTCAGAGAGGTAAATGCTGAAGAGAAACCAGAGTTGTTCTCCCCTTTCCCGTGGAACGTGGAGATGGGGAGGGTGTACGGAACCCTGCGCCTCCTCGGGTTTCCAAGGTTGAGGTTTGAAACTGACCTCTTATGGGCCCTCTCCATTTCTGATTCATATCGGCTGGGTTTGGTATCCGACCCGGTTGGGCCCGAAAGCCGACCCTGTTCCTCGGTTTCAAGTCTGTTGTGGCGTCGCCTTTGACAGTTCACGTGCTGAGCCCACTTGGTCTTGGAGGGCAAATAGGAATAAGGCTCCTCTTGGAACATTTTGTTCGCTGGGTTTTCCCATTTTGCACGTGGGACTGGGAATTAAGCTTAATTGCATCTTTTTCGCTTTTCCCAGGGCCACCTTGACACTATTCCCTGGGTCCATACTGGGTTAGTAGTTCACACTTGGGCTTCTGGAGTATCAGTGGCTCAGAGAAGTAATGAAAAAAGGGGCGTCAAAAGAACGATGCTGGAGGCGAAGAATAGAGGAGGGTCAGGCTGGGAGGTCACAATGCAGTGACCTTTCTTTTAGGTCATACCTTTAGGTCACACTGCGCTGTTATAATCAGCTGGTGTTAAGAGATGATTTTAAGCTGGGCAGGGACAAACTCAGACGTGGGAATAGAGAACCACTCAAATTTTCTAGTGTATGTGTTTGGAAGGATGGAGATGCCAAAATATAGATGATACACAAAAGAGAGGAGCTGTTTAGTTTTGAAGGGAGAACAAAAGAAATTGTATTTGGAAGACCTGAGTAGCCCACTTCTGGTATTTCATTAAGTGAATTTGCTTTCGGGGGTTCTGCATATTTAAGATTTCAACCACCAGTCTACCTGCTATTTTCTTTGAAATGTTAGTGGTGGGATCAGGGGAGCAGGTTTGAAGGCTCCTCCTGTTTCAGTTTTATAATTGAGAGAGAGCCTATAAGAATCAGTGGGAAAAATGTTCTTGATCCCTCAAGCAAATGGAAATTTTTATTAAAAACAATTTACTCAAGATACATAGATTACCGATTTTTCTCTTGAGAATGATACAAGATGGGTTGCCTGCTTTCTACAGAATGAAGTGTAAAATTAGCACCTAATATATAGTAGCTAAAATTTACTGTGTCAGATGCTAAGCATTTTAAATGTATTAGTACATTTAATTCTTAGAACCACCAATTTTACAAAGAAATTGCTGCATCCAAATCTTCAGGTGTAAACCATGCCTTTAACCATGCTGAAACCATAGAAGTTTGACTCTTTCCTATATAGTTCCTTTTTGTAAGCAGATTATAAATAGAACCACCCAAAGATAATAAATTGGTATTGTCTGTGAGCAGCTTAAAAAGAAAACAATTAAGCACCAAACTCGTTTTTACTCTTTTGTCAATGATTCTGTATAAGGCATTTTTACCTCCCAAGAGACACAATTGGGAATGCCTGGAGACATGTTTGATTGTCACAATTGAGTGGTGAGGGCTTTGGCATCAAGTAGGTAGAGGTCATAGATGCTGCTAAACATCATGTACAGCGCACAGGGCAGCCCTCACAACAAAGAATGAGTTGGTCCAAAATGTCTATAATGCTATAGTTGAGAAATCTTGCCCTGTGGATATTTCTTCAGGAATAGGAAAATGTGATTCACTAACACTGGCTTTTAAAAAACACTTTATTTTTAAAAATTATTCATATCCATATCAACTCTACTTTTAACAATCACTTTTCTTATGCTGAGTTCCAGTCTCATAATTTTACTTCCTGAGTGTGATTCTAGGCCATGGGACTAACACTCGGAACAGGCTTGTTATACATGTAATTTGTACTGTAATAGTGTTTATGTTTTCTGTTATGGTACAGATCATTTACTTTAATAAGAAATAGTATTTTGTTGGCAATTTTTAAAAAGTGGCATTATTCTCAGTTGGTGAAGTATATTCTTGGTGGTTGAAAGTGCTGGGAATGTATGGGGGTTCTTTGGTCCTTGTCAAGTAATGGCACAATGGATCTAAGATTTGTTTTTTTTGTTTGTTTGTTTTAATTGATTTTAGAGAGAGGAAGGGAGAGAGAGAGAAAGAGAGAGAAACACCAATGTGAGAGAGAAACATCGACGGCTGCCTCTCACAGGCGCCAAACCACGAGACGGAACCTGCAACCAAGGTATGTGCCCTGACCAGGAATCAAACCCACAACCTTTTGGTGTACGGGACGGTGCTCCAACCAGCTGAGCCACACTAGCCATTACATTTCTTAATGTAATGCTGACTTATTTGTTTCAAATTGTACATAGACTCTGAAAACTTAGGCTTTCAAATTCTGGTCAATAAAAATTGGCTTTAAATAATAGTTACCTCTGTTACAAGTTTTAATAAAGTTGCTTACAAATGAGTCTATGAAAACCCGTCCTGTTGCCAGTCTTCTCCCTCTCCCCACAAACTGTCTAGATATATAAATGTAGTTAAGTATTTTTTTTTTACTTCCAGATTACAATTTTATAATATGTTTATCCTAGGACATATAGTTCTCAAAATATACTTAACACATCTTATAAAATAGCATTATTTCTAGTTAAATAGGATTTTTGTTTAATTGTCTATTGACTTTTATTTTTCAGGATTCATTGAAAAAATCCTTAGTGATATTGACATGTTTCAAGTGACATAAATTAGCCAGTGACTCGGAATGATGGATTCCCCGAAGACTGGAAATGGTTTGCCAGTGATTGGACCAGGGACTGATATAGGGGTATCTTCACCCCACATAGTGGGGTATTTGGGAAAAGTTAGTCAATTTATTTTTTGCCTCAGTGCAAAGTTGGTATTTTTTCCTCCTGTTTTTGAGACTTGAATTCGGTTTTAATTTGACCAGTTACTTATAAATAAATTGTATCGTCTTCCACGGAAATCTTACAGTATTGGCGAAAGATTGTTTTAATGTATTTACCTCTCTGTGTTTTATTAACATATAAAAGTAGAAATTATACAGACTTTATGGTTTACTATTCTTTGAAAATATGGAACATGCATTTTCCCTTACAATTAACATTACCTTTTTTTCTTGCAAGTAAAACATTATTTTTAACACTTAAAACTTAATATTTAAAATAACAATATATTCTTCTTGGATTAATAACTATATTTAAGGCCTGTATGCATTTTTTTTATTTGCCATGTTGAAAATATCATGCCAGGATACTTAGGGGTGAAAGTTCTAATTCTTTTCTGGTTGCTTTTCCACTTAACATTTTGTAATTTGGTACTATCTAGTAATGTCTATATTGTAATTTACTTTATTTCTCTTTTAGAATTATGATTCTGCTAACATCCTGTCAGATGGGTATTGCCCTGCTTGTAGAGAGAAGGGAAAGTTAAAAACCTTAAAGACTTACCGAATTAGTTTTCAGGAATCTGTCTATTTGTGTGAGGATCTACAGGTAAAGTATTAATTTTATCTTTTTAAAAAATTATTTTTATTGATTCCAGAGAGGAAGGGAGAGGGAGAGAGGGATAGAAACATCAATGATGAGAGAGAATCATTGAT